CAAAGTAACAAGTGAACTACATTTTTTTTCTTCTGATGTCAAAAAAAGTAATGATTCAACTTTGTCTATTTACTGTATATCGATATGTATGTGCTTATCTGTTATCTCCAAATCAGTGTTAGTTGTAATGAAGTTTCGTACAGTTATTTTCGATAACCTGCTTGTCATTTTTAGTGCTTTGGTAGAACTGTCGGGAGTTAAAATAACTGAAACTAATCTAAATGATATATTTATTTTGTTCAAAAAATTAAAACTTTAAATAAGAATATAGTTTTTGGTCTAAAACTAATGCCTGATTACTAGTATCGATAATCTTCTCTTCAAAAAGGTTGTATTCTATGATTTGTTGTCTACAGAGTTTTGTCTGGTATGTGAACTTAAGATATTATTAAAAGTGTGTGTTATAGGAGTTGAAAGTACAACTTGAATTTAATTATGAAAGGCTGAACTACTGAAAAATGGGAATTTAAAAAAAAAATTGTTTCCCACGTAACGCGCTTAACCCATAAAACACACATGCGAGTTTTTGAACTAGAATTCGCTGTACATATTTTAGACATCAACAATTTCTTCGAATATAAGTTTGTACACATGCATTATCGTTTTCAGGTTATAAAAACCCTATAATCATTCAATACTGCGAAACATCATAATTAATTCCAGTAATTAAAGCATCCTGAATAATTGATCTATGCAATTTAGAAAATTAATATTTATTTATTTTTTTTGCATTTATGCATGATGTTTTCCTATTGATCAATGTTTTCATCATTCACTAATTCCATATGAAAAGTTCTAAGGAGTTATGTCCATATACCAACTTTGAGACATTTTATTAATCTGCTTTATTTCCTTATATTTTTAATCAAAAAAAAACTTGGAGTAGTGTTGTATTTTCTGGTTTAGATCGACAATAGGAGTCATAAATTTCCTACTTACTACTCTTTTGACAATATAGATACTTACAGAAAATATCTCATATTTAATTGCTTCTAATCCATATTGAACTACCCTACACATTTACTTTAGATGATTTTTCTATATTTCTGAAATTATTTATAACCATCTGTCAGTAACTATGCAGTTATCTATAGATAAGCCAACTTAAGTAAATAACTAAACTACCGGAGTTGACTAAATCAAAACATCACATATGTTTTTGTTCTTTTAAAATGAGTAGATATGATTTATTAAAGTGTTTAATGTCCACATTTACTTATTCATCACGTATATAATTAAAAATTAGCATACTTTATTTGTCCGAATACTTTTTGTAAATATTTCTCAATAACACACAACATATTTATTTAATGTGCTTAATTGATTTTCACCCATTAACATTGTTTTAGGACTGCAAAAACAGTTAAATAAAATATTTGGACATACATAATATTAGATATTCAAAAATTTAGTTAATTTTTGTCTTCAGTAGTGATAAATGTTATAACTTATGGCCTGTGTGCCCTGTTAATGTATAACGTAATGATACAGCCAACTATAGAGCAGTGAATTATCGATCGGACCAATGATGCCTAAAACCCGTACGAGTAGTCTAGAGTACTTATCAGCCTTGCTTCCTGCCTAGCCCAGACGGTTAAGTTCAGAACACCAATCTCAGCCTCTGCAATATAAACCATTTATTTCAAAGTTGCGGGGTTTATATTAATAATCAGACAGATCACATCGTACCATAAAATAAGAAACAACATTTGTACAAGATTTGGCCATATGTGGCTGTGAATGTGAGAGGTAGTGATTAATAGACAGGGCATAATTCAAGAATGGTAAATCGTATAATAATAGTTCATAGGTCAAAATCAAGCTCATGATAAGAGGGACATGAATATTGACAGTTTAGTTATTTAACAATTATATGATAAAAATATACGCATAGTATTGGTCCATAAATGGATCCCGAAAGTTACCATTCATTATGCTTATCAGGACATAACAGTGAGTTCATACAACTTCATGAAGGGTAAATATGTAGTCTATCAATATCTCGTATTTAAAGAAGCTTTTATGTCATAAATGAAAGGTCTGATTAGGAAACATACTCACTTGTCAGCAAAAGGAATAGAAAGAAAAACTAATGAAAATAGCTAACATGGCCTTAAAGAATCAGTCAATTAATCTGAATGAAACAGCTTTTTAGCCATGTAAATTTTTAATAATTTGATAGGTTAAAAGTAACGGGATGAGAAGTGCACATGTTATTTGAAAATCGTCAGCAACATAACCCGAAAATCGAGGACCACAACGTATCCTTGTTTAAAAAAGTTGATAAAATCATGTAAATTAAAGTTCTAACTTGATTACTTGATAAGGTAACACGTTTCAATTCTATATGATGCTGCACTAATAAAGTAGTTTCTTCCATAATTGTAGGTGAAACGAGAGAATTTATGAAATAGTTTACTGCTCGCATTCAAAATTTGTTTGCAATCTCAATTTACGTGATTTGTTTCCATCTATCGATCCCTGGGAGGTAACAAATGTTGTAATTATTTAGTCTTCATTTTCTAATTGAATGCTATCAACTAAATTAAATTATCCTCATGAGTTCAAGAAATGCAACAGTGTATACACTATGTTACTAGTAGGATATCACAGACCTAGGTTTCGTATTAGTTTTCACTTGCCAGTAAGACGTTTTTCCAATCTGAAAAGAACTGATGTTCCTTGTAGCATTAAAGCTCATTGGTAATGTGGTAAACCCTTTGAGTAATCTGTCGGATAAGACATTTATATGTATATTCCTGTCGGAACAAAGCATTGAAAGGAGAAGCTTCTTACGGAATGTAACTTTCTCTGGTTTCCTGATCACTGCTCGTAAACAGTCCTGCAAGCGCTTTCCAGATAGCTTATTCGGATAGACAACAATTACGTAAACTCTCATTTCCATTTATGACCCTTCTGCTTAGTAGTCTACAACTACTACTTACATTGCCACATAAATTTGTGGTTTTATGATTATTAAAATAGATTAAGTTGAGTTTTTTGTGCAACACTATATCTTCTATTCTCTAAACTAATTTAATTCCACTAGGAATATTATAATCCATTACTAAGACGACAGTTAAAGTTAAGCATATATATACATAACTAATATAACATAGGTCGGTTATGTTGTCACGAAGAATTACTTTTAAACATTGTCAAATAGCATTTGTAAAGGTGTGTATTATTCTACTGTTGCTATTTTGAGTCCAAAGTCAACTATGTACGAAGTTGGAGTTGAACACCATAGAGACTGAATACAAGCCTCGACGTGCTAATGAAAGAAATCTTCCAGGTACATCCAGATAATATGTATGGAAGCGGACGAAAATGTACGTCCTGTATTCTATTTCTTACCGTAATCCAAACAAATTAGCTTTTATGATGGAAGATAACAAAGCGAAATCATGTTACGTCTCACAATGTCACATTACTAAGTTCTCTCATTCTACTAGTGATAATCCAAATAAATACTTAAATAATTCTAGACGTTCAGAATTCATTATTGACATTCAAAATATGATTAAAAATATAAATAATACATATAATTGAGAATATTTCTCTGATTGTTATGAAATTAAAAGACTTAATTCAAATTTGTGCTAAATAAGATTCTATTCGTAGGAACCACGAAATCTAAATGCTTTTCCTAATTATAATTAACTTTAATTATGTTGATCTAAGGATAAGGCATTGTCGTATTGACTAAGCAAAAATATAATAATAATAATAATAATAATAATAATAATAATAAATGGTTTATAAATTAATTGGACAGAGAAAAAGTAATTTGTCGACCAAAAGCCGAAGCAGTAGACACTTTTATTTTCCGATAGGTAATAAATGAACAATGTTGTTTTTGATCTTTGTCAGGGAAAGACATTGGAGACTAGGAAAAATCGATTTTAATAAATTATTTATCATTTATACTCTGCATTAAATGGGTTTTCTAAAATATAGATTGAGTCAATATTATCTCAGTGATAAATTAAAAGTACAGTTGGCCAAAAATATTTTTTGTCTTAGAAATCGAACGTTGCGCAAATCACTTTCTGGAAAACAAAATTGTTTATTACTATACTAAACCTTCAATTGAATGAATTGCTGAAAAAGAAATATTTTTATTTGTAAAAATGTGAACAAAAATTAAGCCTCTTATTAAAAATATTGTAAAATATTTTATCCACTATATTGCTGTTAAAGCATATCAATGAAACCCAACTGAGAATATATAATTAGTTGATTTCGTGATTGAAAAAATGGACTAGTATTTATCGAGTATAGTGAAAATTGACTTTTATTATAATGTAGTTTATTAGTAATTCCATCAATAAAACCAAATTCTACACAGTTGAATTTGAGATGTATAGAGATGCTTATCGTTTTGTGTTAAAATAGTTGAATGACTCGCTGTTCAAAACTAGTAGTGGTAGTTTAGAACCCTGCTCTAAAGACCTCAGAAACAGAACAGTGTGGATAAATAGTCACTTAGATACACAGTCCAAGAGGAAATTATTTTTAAAAAATCAAATTAACTGCTCATTGAGTATCCTCATTCGGTCATATTTTACTAGTGTAAAGAAATTTACTTTTCGAAAATTATTAAATACAGTACCAGTCTTTCATGAAGGTAAGTTTCTAGAGTAAATTCATATTTGTATGAGATTGGCTGATTCAATTTATTATTTATCAAATAACGTTGATTTTTAATTATCGTTTGTTCTTTTCCACTTAAACTTATTTTTCTCACTACTTGTTCTTTCAACAAATCCAACCATCATGATGTGGCGTGAAGGTTTAGAAATGATTCGATAATGAGTAAACATTTTTACTTCTGTTTCAATAACTTTTAAAATTACAGTCTACAATGTAATTTTTCAATTGATTGTTTCAGTAAAATATTGAAGAGTAACTTTTTCAAACATAATTTCTGTTTATTTTTAGAGTTCACTGAAATCATTACTATTCACACTAGATGAACACGAAGAAACATTCAAAAGATGATTTATACCATAGAGATATTGTTAAATTTATTTTTATTAGTCATATTTACTGTTAATGGATTACAGTGTACATTACCGTCCAACTTATCAACTCATCCATACAATACAATCTTAACAAGATATTCAAGAGAAGTTAAGTCTGTTATATATATCGGTAAGCTGAAAATCATCATTTCAGTAAATTGTATTTTTCATTTGGTCTTTAATAATAAAGTAATCATCAAAGTATGGAGAAATTTTTAACACATTTTTTTACCGAGATGTTGACGAAAGATGGATCAATATTTATACGTTGGACTGATTCAACGTGCAAATTTATACTTTCTGACTTAAGTTAGGAACTAAGGGATACGAATATCCTTGCTGACCAAAATAATATCACGTATACAATTCCTGTATTATTGCACAGATTAAGTATCAGTTTTTGAGAGAACCTTCCTACCAAAAGGACTTGAAATACCACACTCAATTTCATACAGCTTTCCGATAGCTTTTTTTATCATATTATCAGAATGGGTTTTGTGATTTTAGAAATTTTACAGATTGAAATCATGAGTCAGTTGAAGCTAGACCACCATTGAAAACCTGGAAGCACTGGACGGCCGTTTCGTCCCAGTATGGGACTCCTCAGCAGTGCGCATCCACGATCCCGCACCACGCGGGGCTCGAATCCAGGAACTACTGGCTTCGCGCGCGAACACTTAACCACTAGACCACTGAGCCGGCATCCAACGGTGTTAATGTCTAACTTCAACCAATCCACGAAGTTGGGCCACCGTACACTATTGTCTTCAGTGAGTTCCTATCTCACAACAGACCTGATTGAACTCCACTGGTAACGGCTTCTCACTAGAACTTCGGGAGTTTTTCCTGAAGTCAGTCACTAGTGAGCAGTTGATTACTATCAGAATGAGTTTTGTGGAGATTTTAGAAATTTCACAGATTGAAATCATGAGTCAGTTGAAGCTAGACTGACTCATGATTTCAATCTGTGAAATTTACCATATTAGTTCGGTGGTCGATATTAGATCACTATGAAAACTATCCTAAAACCATAATTATTTCACAAAAAAATAAATAATTAAATAGAAAAAGTTGAAGTTTATTGACAATGTAAATAATTTACGAAAATCATACGTTATTGTACATTTACTATCACATGAAAATACAAGAGCGAATGGCTCTTAAATTTACTTAGAACATGACATTCTGCTGAGATAATAACTGTAAATAAGATGTCGTACTTGAAATACTGTATTGCAAAACACTGTTCGTTATCGATAGGTATAATGAAATCAGTTGCTCCTGAAGCTATTTAGAATAAAGCTGAGTGATTTATTCTGTTAAATATATTTTTAACTGTTGAACTATGTACAAATCATTGATTACGCAGAAAGTTGTTTGAATTTGGTTTAATTGAAAATGTAGATATATCTTATGTTTAAATTATTAAGCATTATGCGTTTGTAATTGTGTTCGGACCTATATATCTGACTGGCTATATTGCAGTGACTATGTTATGCGGCTTTACGTTCACATTCACTATGTTTATTTGTAGACGACTGAAGACAAACGGTAAGAAAATTTAGAGAATTGAGCAACCAGTGAAGATTAAGGTATAACATTCTACCGTCTATGGTATTTCCACCCCAAAAAAACATTACAGAATAAATCTGGTAGAACTTTAAATTAACTTTCAGTAACCGCGTATAACTCAATGAAAAACACGAACTCTTGTCTTTGTCCAACACCTGTAAAGTATCATTTAGTTTGATAGAAAAGAATGCAGTTTCTCCTTACATTTTGTGAAAAGTACACATACATACACTCGAAATTTTCTTTATGATGAACAGTATTAGATATAGTACAACTACATTGTTGTTGTTAATGTAGATACAGGATTTTCCATTTAATATTAGAAATAATTTAAAGGTCAAACAAATGAAGTGCATAGAATAAATGTATATCGAGATAAAATTCAATCTTAAAAACCATCCATATTGTATATGTACATAACTGTATACAATAATCTTAGAAGAATTTAGGCAGAATAATAAAAATGAAACAAGGAAACAATAAGAAAAATTGATTCACTGACTTACTGAAAAACTTGACATTTAATAGTGTTAAAACCTCATCAATATTTTGTTGTCAGTTTAAGATTATTTTATAAGGTTACTAGATTTTTGTTTCATGTTAAGACAGGCTTACAGTCAAACTACGTTGAGATTTTTGGAGTTTTTCGAAGTTTTACTTTTGTTCCATACCATTAATCAATCCATTCAATGTCCTTATTTAATGATATACAGACTGAAAAATCTTCATTTCATCACAATGAGGTACAATTTGAAGATAACTGTCAAATATATATAATATACCACTCCGTTGTTGTGAGTGTGATGTGTTTTCAACTGAAGTTCATCAAATAACGTTTGCAGCATCCCCATCAAACTAAGCAACTCTCTATCTTGAAGCAGATTTTTGGCTTCATATTCTCAAAACTGATTGACATGAAGCCATTATCCTAGGTCTGTAGTGCTTAGCAGTTATCAGAGAGACTATGATTGGCCCCTTCCTGGTCTATATTACTGACTATCAATACTCTCAGATACTCGTCATTGGTGAGGTAAATCCATCAGGATTGACTTAAACATTTAACGATTAAACGTGGAATCAAGATCAGATCCTATAGATTGGTAAACTTATTGAAACACTAATAAATTTTTATATTTAAAATCAGTAGTCTAATGGTGGTCAGATATAATACACAGAACTTTTCAACAAAATGAATACCTCGGCTTTCGAATAATAAGTAGCTTACACAAATAAAGTATCAACGAAAAGATCATTATCACCTAATCTGTGACATCGCTTAATGGATAAAGCCACTGCATAATGACTAACATCAGGGTCATGAAAAACTTATGTCATCTATAGACAACAAGTAATCAGGTGGTAAGGATGAACATATGCAGTGAATAAAACTATAATTAAAATTTACAAAGATTTTACAAGCGAGTAATGTCATTGTCAGAGTTGAAAGTTTTCATATCTTCAAAACGGAGTAACACGAACAGGATAATTCATGAATGTTTCAAAATAATTTTTCTTTGTAAATTTTATACGCGTGGAGATATTCATTAAATGTAACTTCTTTAAATAACAGCTCTCTTACCCATAGATTTTGATGTTAAAAGTATCGCATCACTATATGTTTACTTTCGTTGTTAAACGTACCCGGATTGATTACAGATGCTTCTGTAATTCGGCACACGTCTTGTAGAACTGCTTGTTTTAGAACATGTAAGACGTCAGCTCTTACCGTCCATGTCCTTACTGCCTTTTGACATTTTTACTGTTCAAAAACTCATAAAATATATTTTGGACACAACATTAAAATCTTATATGTATAAATCTTTGAAACTGACAAGGATTATGCAGAAAGCCATCATGTTTCATTGAATTATCTAGTCTGTCTATAAACCTGTTTAGTTCGTTTCCCACAGTTTCACCTAGACCTAAGACATAACTTCAGTGTTTATTACGTTACTCACCAATATATTTGACTTTTTATCCTTACACAAATGTATTTGGTTCGAATGGGTCATTTACAGTTTATAATGCACAGATTTTAAACGACTCACGAATTATAATAGCTTTATAAGTTAATCGTTTGTAAACTATTTGATAACCAGACATTTTTGTACTTTCAGGAGTTATCCTTACTGATGAAGACCGCGACACTGAGAAAGCGTTTGAAAATGGTGTTCAAGCAGCTAATGAAGTCCTAGGTCAAAGTGGAACTCTATCATCTTACCAGTTAGAACCTATTATCCAATTTGTACCTAAAGATAATGTTTTTGTAGCCACACAGCAAGGTAAGTAACACCGCTTCCATAAAGAATTGTTTTTTAAAAGCCTTTTGGTTATTATTAGGCATAAGCTAAAATTCGAAAAAATTGATCTACAAAACAAGAATATATTTTTCCGTACAACGACAACGTGAGAGCTATTTTAATGTGCGCCTAAATATTAAAAAATCAATCTCAAAATGATCAACTTTTAGTACAGTCTGTAAAAAAGAAAAGTAATAAAATTATGATGAAAGTGACATTGATTTGATAGTCCAAAGAATTCGCAACCATACTGAAAAAGTAATGAAGTCAAAATATGAAACTTTTAAGGTCTAATGCTAAGGCTCAAAAATACATGAATAACCTTTTGCGGTTCGAGATTCTGTAAACAACAAATCTCACATTCTCTTCTATCACAACTAAGTTACAATGCTGCTACTTGTAACCGTAAATCTCACACATGTGGAAATTTCAATTTTAGAAAATTCTCAAGTGTCAACTTCACTTTAGACTTTGATAACTATGACTCAATGTAGCAACTGTTGCGCAAAATTATTATTGAAATTCTGACGCAACTGAAAAATGTCGTTTTCCTGTGTTACGTCATTCCTTTGGCTGCAAATTTTACATTTTACTGGGAAATCGTTAGATAAAGTCATATCGCCGCTTGGACCAATACAAAGCTCCCACTTTTCTAGGTGTCAAAACTTAAACAGAAAAATGTATGAAATAGAAAATTATAAAATGCTTTATTCTAGACCGATATTTTTTACTTCCGTTCACAAATAAGGGTTTGAAATGATTACAACTTTCACAATGAATTATTAAAAAAATTTTACGTACGTCCTTGACATTTTATTTATACAAAGTTAGTTTCAAACAGATGGATTATTGTAAAATATCAAATGAGTCGACTAATGAACAGCTAAACCTCCAGTACCTGAAAGATGTTAATTTACGGATTATCCACTATATATATACACGAGACCTATAAAGATCTTGCTTAGACAACATTTTGAAACTGAGTTATAACTGAATAGTCACAGGTTTGCTGACGGTTTCACTAATTTCCTCAGACAATCAAATATATTATCACTCTTTCACACAATCGGTAATTGTAAAATTAAGGATAATACATAGTAAACTACTGTAAATATTTCGTGTTTGCATTTATAACACTAAGAAATAACTCATCAGTAATATCTTTGTCAGTAATATCTGTATATCTCATTTCAAAATATGTTTATCTTATGAATACCATGTCACCAATTAAATGTATGCTCCGTCGATAAACGTCATGTTAAACTAGTAATTGATTGATTTCAATGAATGAAAAAGTCGTATGTGGTTCGCATAAATATTTGTTCATGTCTTTAACAACTTTTTAAATGTTCACTTATTCAGTCAACTATAAATTAATTAATCATGATAACATGAAAACAATTCCCTTTATTTCAAAACGCTTTAAAAAAAATCGTCTATGGTTTATTTTCACAAATGTAAGATAAATTTATTCTGTATGCTTGCATCATCCAACTGTTTACACTAAGCACTAAAATTGATCAAACTTTTTGTATCACACATTTATTCTCTGCGGATTGTCTAGATAAAGCCATTTATTCACAAATTTAATTAAGGTTAAACAGCGATTAGCAATAGGATCTAAGATGCGTGTTTCATAATGCTTGGGACACATCACCTGGATTTATCTGCATCCCAGGGTTGATATTCCCATCAAGACATCCAAAATGAATTGTTGAAATGATTGTTATTAACTTGTTGTATTTAATTTATGTTAAAAGAATAAAAAACTGAAGACACCAAATATACAAAAATGAATCTAGTTAACTGTGAAATCATGACATCAATAAGTTTACGAGAACATCTAAAAATATCTGAAAGCCTAGAAGCCAAGTATCAAGATACCTCAAAAGGATAATGTTATTTTATTCCTAAACATAAAATTTCGACCATTATCTAAAATAGCTTAGCATGATGAAGGCGGTCATACAAGGTGGCTATTCTTTGAGATTAATGGTTTACAAGATGTTATAATTCCCTTCAAATAAATTTATTTATAAATCAATATGAATAACCTTTCTCATCTGATCTGTCCTAGCCAAAAGTAGAATATTTAACGAATAAATTCCTAATAATATAACTTACTCGTCTGGAATTTCTGACATCAAGTTGATTCAATTCTTTGTAATGTAAGCTCAAAAACAGTAATCTTATCGATAAAAATTATCTTTAGATCTTTGAACTAATATAATTAGTTTTTCCCTGAATACATTTAACTACCTCCTTAGATTTCTATAATCTAGTGTCAAATTTTACGATTATCATTTAGCAGCATCTTAAATGTCAATCTCATTATTACCTTTTTTTTATTTTTTCCACCAATATGCTAAACCTATCAAAACATTTTTGTACGAAATAAAAGTTTGGTTTATATGGCTATACAACTACTGTTCTGATGTTTCAAAATAATATATTTCGATTGTATGGCAAATAGACATAAAAATATATTAGGTGGATATTCATATTATTACCAGAACCTAGTACATTTCGCTTTAAATGCTAACTCATTGTCCACTGACTTACTGAGTGCGAAGTTGTTGATATTCAAGATTTTAGGAATCATTGTTTACTAAGATATCTACATCGCACTGGGATCCCTTGATATCACCTCTAAATTAAAATTTTCCAGTTAATTTTGAATATTAGCTTTCTGAATGATTTCATGCTCGGTGAATAAAGTATTGTCCGCCTGAACACACCTGCTGAGTAGATTAAGCGTTTGCATCCGGAATAGCAGTTACTAGTTTCAGTGTTAACACTGATCAGGAATTGCAATTATATCCAACTGACAAGACATAAATAAACGGATTTTGACGTTCTGAATCCTCCAGCTGGTCGAAATCCAAATACATTAATACCACATAATTAAAAAGCCAAGAAGTACATGTAACAACAAAGATTAATCCTTTACGCTTCTAAATATCATCAGCGTAAAATCACAAACCAATACTAAGAGGTATCCAACTATTTCTGTGAATTAGAGGAAAGTGTTAGCAGTAGAGTTAAAAAGAATTTCAGCATACTTCAATGATTATCGTTTAACAAACGGGTTAACTGAATAAAATATCACCCATTATGTTATTGTGAATCCAAAATATTAATTTATATCACCATCTATTTGATTAAACCAAGTTGGGTTTGGCGAGATATCTATTTGTGTCAATTTGAATAGTATTGTTTTGATGTCAACACAGAATTTATTGATGAGATACTTAAATTGAATGATTATATACAATTAGAATGTCGGTTACATTATTAGGATTCAATCTGAAGTTAGTCGTACAATTAATTACTGACGAACATGCCAATAAGAATACATAAAAACAATCTATTCGATTATGCAGTTTACATAGTTTATGATTTATTGTCGTGTTCGTGATGCTAATAACAACTGTAATACAAATCGGCATATTAATTGAATTTTTACATGACTTTATTTGAAGTAAATTAAAAGCAACTGTTTCACGAATAAGTTAATTGACAGAACTGTGAGTTACTTCAATTCAATTAAATAGATTATGATTTATTGCTGTTAAGGAAGTATTATATACATTTTTTTAAAAATATCCTACATGTAAACTCTTGTTTTAAATTAGTGAGTAAATGGCGGTAAATTATCTTGATTTAAATTGTTAAAACTAATTTGTTTGTTTAGTGTTTAATAACAATATATAATTAGATTTATGGATAATCACTTTTCCCTATTAGTACTTGAACTACATTGAAGAATGTTAGAGAGAACATATTCCACACGTTTGTGTTTTCATTTTTATTGAGATTAAAATAAATACAAAAAAATATTGAAAAGTACGAAAAAGGCAAATAAAATGTCATTTAGATTAATAAGTAATGTTGCAACTTAGTCAATGGAATTTTACATTACCCACCTCTAAATAAATATGATGGTTACTGTTTATTAACCAATCAAAGGAACTAAAAGTGGAAATTATTTTCATCATATATAATTACAAAGTTATGCACCTTCATGATGAACGCTTGAGGTTTCGTCCTTTTAAAAAAAAACAAAATTCAAAAAGTTTATACTCTACAATTAATAAGTAGGTGAACACAAATTATACGTCAGTTATAGTAAGTTGTCGTCCTTTTAAGATTTTTATGTGAACAAAAAAGATAAAAGATCAAGTGCAAATAAGTCTTAAATATTTAGTGATGGGTTGAGTTTATCAAATGAGTGGATGTCACAATTAATCATATCCATCACTAGACAGTTTCATTTTTCTGAAGGTTTTTAATCTTAACCATTGATCGAAAAACAGGACTGATGTACTGTATTATTAACCATGCGATCAATTTCTTGTCTAAATTATACATTTACAAAGATAGTTAATTATTACCATATTTTGAGTGTAATAGTATACGAAATCTAAACAATATTTATTTTTAGTGCAACATGATATGATTCATTTTGTTCGGAACACACTAATGTCCAGTATTATTTAAATAAGGATCTTGTGATGATAAAACAATAAAGATTACTTTCCAATTTTACTGAATTCGTCATATGATTGTGTGGAATTATCTCGAAGGTATTTTTAGTTGTTAAGTGATGTCAGAGGTCGAAATATATAAAAACACAGTAAAGTGAGGACCTGTTTTAGATCCATAACGAGACTCTCAATAACATCTTTAAAACGACTACACGTTGATACCATGGTTCACGACCCAGTTATGTCTGGAGTCGTAGCTGCATATTTCTACTGCGTCTCGAATAAAGGTGAGTTTTTCAACGTTTTGTAATTTCACTAAACATATGCAGTATAAATGGTCTAGTGAAATACACTTTAAATTGAAAATGGATCTTTTGATCTGTCTTCGCTAAAAACGCTTTTTTTAACTTCTCATACGTTGTCAAATAGTATAAAAAGTGATAAAAAGTAAGACGGAACCATATAGTTTTGCAAGCGACTTTGATACGAATAAATCTGACTACTGATCGAAATGTAAATTGGGTAAGCTTTATGAAAATATATTCAAGAATAATAAAATCAAAAGTTATCTAATTAAATAATGCTAGCTTCCATCTGCATCTCTAAATACATCAAGTTTAAGTACATGTCAAGATAGCATATCTCTGGAAACCAAACTTCCTGGATTCATTTCTCTGTAATTGACTTTTTATAACGAAGACAATAATAATTAAGTAATTGTGACTCAAATTTAATTAAAGCGCAAAGTCTATTTATTGGTACTTCTTTTGAATTCAACTAAATTGTTCATTAGATTACCTATGTCTACATTCACTCCTTTATTTAAAGCATGCAAAATTTTGGATAGAGGCATTATTGCCTTATATGGACCAAGCTCAACATCTTTATCACAAGCTTTGTTGTCTTTGGCCAATCGATTTGGTTTACCATATGTTGAAACACACTGGAATATGATACCAAGAAAAACTACTTATGCCATACATTTACATCCAAGTATAGAAAGTTATGGAATAGGTTTATACGAATATTTAACTCAGGTGGAAAAATGGAAACGTATGACACTCATCTACAATAAACCTGAAAGTAAGTTTAAGTCATACATTATTAAAATTTACTAAGCCTGCGGATTTTTTATGAAATATATTCGTTGTACCTTAGTGATGCACTCTTCAATCAAACCTATAATAGAACTAATTACTTTTAACTTACCTTATTAAATGGTGTAAAATTACTGTTCCGTAAGTTCTACCTGCCAAACAAGAACATGTAGTATACCATACTGACATGTTATCTTAGGTCAGTCTCTCAATAATTATATTTCATTTTAAAGGTGAGCAAGCATCATACAGTGTCTTTTAAACAAAATTTAAAACAACCTAATACCCTGGAGAACTGCATTCTGTATTTTAAAATCACTGGACAACTTCACACTATTTAGATACATTTCAATCAATATGAAGTGAACATTTGACACTGTTTATTCTATACAATAATGACACTAGTACATCTAATATAAATAAATTTTAATGTGGAAGTTAACACTATGAAGTCTCACACAACGATTTTCATAGTATGTATTCAATACTAGTGAGAATTTATTGGCGGATATCATACATTCAATGCTATCTTTGAACCATTTACATCAGAGTTACATGTGTTATCATGACTAATAGTTTCATAGCATGTATCTATTTTTCATATTATTTTAGGTTTGCTCAAATTTGCCACTTTAGTAAATAATTTTGAAGGAATATTAAAAATTAAATCATGGGATGAAAATGCAAGTGGTGCTAGAGCAATGATGGCAGAGCTAGGGTCAGGATTGGAGAAAAATTTTCTTGTGGACATTCCCAGTTGGCAAGTAACCAATTTCTTAGTTATGGTATGTGTTTTAGTTTAATTGGTGAATATTTATTAAACAAGTTTAATTAGAATAATGTATTCATGTAGCAGACGGTAAATATTTTCATCTGGATACAAAATCTTAGTTTCAAACCTAAATTCAGGTCCAATCGAAAGTTGTTACAAACAATACAATCAGGAAAGTGAAGTTATAAAAAAGGTTGCAAACTTTATTCTAAAAATATATTACCAATGACGGTTGATTCTAATGATTGTAATACTTCCGGGACAGAGCTTTATGTCAAAAAATGTGCGATTGTTTTTTTTTTTGAATAACAGGCTTTCAGAAAAGAGGTTCTAATTTTTAAAACATTCTTCTTTTGTGCTAGATATGGGTAGCAAAGAGGTTTTATCAGAATTTATACATCAAGTGTGCCCAGTTGTTTCCTACTTATAAACCCATGAATGGGTTCTAATGCGCAATGAATTCCATACGAATACCCGTACAGAACAGTAGACCTTAGAATTCATTTACCTGACTCATTATAACCTGAATTCAAAAAGTCAGGATCTCATGGAAATAATAAAAATAACTATTTCTTTCAATACAGAAATAAATTCCAAAAAGTTGACCAAATACATATATATTTTACGTTGCCAGCTGTCATCAATGTTGCAACCCTCAAGCTCTTATCTAAACTTGAGCTATATAAGGAAATGAAAAATTGCTTCACTTTAAATTTGAACAGTTTTCAAAATGTATAAGAAGCTTAATGTCTGAATAAATCGATGAACACCGAACTTTTAATTCTGTTGGTATTTCAAATCAAATAAGATTTTATTTATATTTCCTTTTTAGTACAGGCACCATTCACTTCTCAACACTTATTGAAGCTTAATTATATTAAAGTCAGATCTGTTCAATAGAACTAGAGATATTTATTTTTATAAGGGTTGAGGAAACCCAACTTTAGGCCTAGAATTTGTGTTGAGGCATCTAGTACGTTCAACTTTACATTATGTACCATAATGCTACATCACTTGTTTTCTTAGCCGCATTACTTGCATTAGTTGGTACACTCTTAGCACTCACTACCAAAGAAAGGATTGTTGTAACAGTATTTGTACATTATAACCACAATTTTATATACTTTACTGTGTATCAATATGACTTTTGTTTATCTTTGTTTTATCTCTTACTTTCCTATTTTACATCTTTTCTACATTTTCTAAAATGTTTATATGATTTAATATCTATCGTGCACATACATTTCTTCTTACAGGCATATGTGCACAATATGACCGGCTTTCAGTATACTTTCATATTCACAGATTGGGTAAGTACATGTTATCGCTTTATCTAAACATTTCAGTGACATACTAATTCATTAAAATACTGTTGTTCAGTGCTAACATAGTTATTAAAAAAGGCGGTTATTCAAGAGAGAAAATTCGTTGAACGAGAAGTATGATGAACTGTTTAACTTAATATCTTCCTCAAAGTAAAACGTTTAGATTGTAGTCATCGTTTAATGAATAAGGTTTAGAAAATGAGGTTGATAAGAAATAGCAAGTAGTTTTTATTTGATTTCTTAGTTATACATAGATCTATAGCACAACATATTTCAAATTATACTACTTAACAAACGTTTAATCTTGATAAGTCATCCAAAATCTGGAATCTTATTCACAAGTGATTGTCATGTAAATAGTATTACATTTAAAGCCACCATGTAGAAAGTAATGCGTATTCCTAAGTTTTCCGCATAGCAATCAAATCCCTCACGTTTCTCAGTAAAAATCGACAGCCTTTTCCATATATGTCGTAAATTAATATCCGTTCAAATTAAATATATGAAATTGCTCATCTGGTTCAACTTTCAATGAATAAATCTGCGAAACTAGTTTCATTACACCTTAAAAATCTACCTTTGATATGTGATGGAATGAAATAGTAAATCAGTGACGTTTACTGAGTAAAAAACAACGAAACTACTCTGTGTTAGTTAACGAATAATTTGTATAGTGACGATAAGCAGCGTTCCAAACGATTAGGAATCAATTGTATTCAAAATTACAGTAAATTACCTGGTAGTTAGGGTTTCGAAATGCTTTAATATTCGTATCATATTACGTACTATATATAAACCTTTCATAGTCAATACATGTTGAAACTAAATTGATTGATAATCTGTAGCGTTGTATAATTGTCATAGGTAATATCAAATAGAAAACGATTCAATAGGGAAACTTCCAATTAATTAATCAATATATAAAAATGAGGAACTCCCTATTAAAGAATAAACTGAAACAGTAAAAATGCATTAAAAAATATTTTTCATTAATAGAAGTGATCATCCTAAGTCGTAATAATTCTGAGAGGTAAATTAGATTGTCACAAGAAATAACGATTATATTTTATAGAAACATTTTTGCAATATAAATATTCTTTAAATAAAGTCGTCAGACTAAATATTCACACTTAAGATATATATCTGTAATAAGAGTTTTGGTAGCCTTATAACATTCTATCAACACCTCTTAAACATCTAATTCGAACAAATGACTTTCTGCAAACTAAGTTAAAAGGATACTCTTGTCATTAACTATGGTCAAGTATTATTCCCTAGCAGTTAGTGATGTTTAAAGTTATTCAGTTGGCACAGTATATTGGAATATCGACTTAATCCAAATCAATAAGGATAACTGACTGGTGGAGCATAGTCAGTAAGTTAAATAAAATCGAACATTATTCACCTGTTGACCACTTATTTATTTTATTGTCTTACTTAGTTCAATAAATATTAGATCGCTTTCCAAATGTTCATGGATTCGTAAATGAAAACCACAACACTTGCGCCGAATTTTGAAAAAAAAAGCAGTTTGAAGACCTTTTAAGTCATATAACATGAATTTCGGACTTGTTTATTAATTAGTAATGTTAATAGTTTTGCATGTTAAAACATGTTTACTGTTTGCTACCGATTACACAAGGAACGTGAACTCTCCAATCAACAGTTTTTTATTGTTTTTGTTAGGAATGTCAATGAGTATATGTTTCAATAAAAATGTTAATTTACTCTTAGGGTTACAAAATAAGCATACTGCTTATGTCAAATAAATGTGTTTAGAGATAGTAGAATGATGGCTTTATTTCAATCGATAACAAAGAATCCTATCAAATATCGAAGAAGCTGTTCGATCGTAGGGATTGGAATTCACAAAACTTTGTTTGGATGGTAAGTTAATTAGGTGAACAAAATCGCACGTCTGAACATTTTTGGAAGCATTCAAAACGTAAATAAATTTATCCTTCCAGCTTTCCATTACATGTAATTGACTTACTGGAAAAGATTACTTGACTCACAAGAAAATAAAGCATATTGTAAGTTCTAACGCGGAGAGGTTGTATTTGCTGCTAATGAGAAGTTGATAGCTGTAGTCTCCACTTATGTGCAACGCAAACTAAGTACACAGGTTATGTGTAATAAATACCAGCTTATTCATTCCCATACTATCTAGTCGTAGAGGTTGTTTAAAAATAAAAAAAGATCATGTTGTTGAACGATCTAGCTTTATTTGCGTGCACAAATGTTAATATGAAAATTGCACCGCACCGAAATCTGAGAAACCGCTCATCTATTATTGTACAACATTTTTCGACGAACTCAAAACTAAATACTACAACTGGTCTGCAACAATAATTCATAAACTAACAAATTTGACTAACCATTCACATTTCTTTAATTATAATCTTCATTAGGAAACACATTAAGGAAATACTTATTAAACCACTCATACAAACGTAGAATGGATTTATTATAATCTTCAGTGGTTATTGAGCAATAGTTATTTGTTTAAGTGGAATAATTGAAACCAGTTGGTAGTGACATTTTTGAATAAATTAAGCTTAACAACCATTAAAAAGTTACGTGATGGAAAAAATACTTATTTGGATTGGTTTATTTTGTGACATACAAATTATCTGTCAGTACATTACGAAAATTCAACAATATGGCTTTGGTTCATGGAAATTTATCATCCTATACCAACAAAATTGTCCTCATAAAACGAAAATTCCAGATCAATAGATAAACTGAAACCACATGAATGATATAATTTGTTAGATGAAATCAAACTAGTTGGATTCTAGACAATGGCTTATGGCTGTGATAAATGAGGCCTGATTAATAACAGTGTAAACCCCAGAGTTTTTGTTTGACTGTTGTAAATACATGCAGATAGTCTACACAAAATGATTTCATTTCATGTGTTAGGTTTACAACAGCCAATTTCAGTTGTAAAAGCTATGTATTCAAAATGTTATTATTTTATCATTACGAGTACAGTTACCACATGAATATCAAATGTCAATTATTATAGTTTGTTAAGTACATAAATAGAAAACAATTCAGTATACCTTTCCATTCTAGACTCTGTAGCATAGGGAAATCACACGTAACCCTGTAACTAACGGCCGTACAGGTGAGTAATGAAATGTTATTGATATGCATAAATAGATAATTGTTTATCGACTGATCATACCCATTAACTAATAAAGTATCTTCGTAACAGAAGGTAAATAGAAAAGCAAGAAACTACCTTTGTGATGTCCCGAGAAGTTTGCAAATAAAAAGTTAGGTCGTTAAAGCTTAATAATAAAAATGTAAGCAGTTTTATCTGTAGTAAGTAATACAATCTGGTATTAGTTATACAACTCGGCCTTCATATGAGTTAATGAGACACATTCACTGATTTTCTAAAAGATAAATGAATATATTCAAAGCTTTTTTGTTCGAAAATTTTGAACGATCAAGTCGTAATAACATAAAAAAAGTGATGAAGTATTACTACTAATCTTAATTAGCCATTTTGAGTTGGTTAACTGCCATACAGAATGATATCCATGATAACAAGTAAACTACATGTCCTCCCCAGATTTGTTATTTCACTGAGTGATTGACCAATCAAAACAGTTCACTTTACAAAAAAATCCTTAGTAAGAAACCCATATTAAAAATTTATCACTTTATATAAAGTTCACTGAGGTTTCCAACCAAACGAAATCCAAAAACGTATATATAAAACTATTTACTATGCTGAATTATGAAATCTGGACTGAGTACCGTTTAACAATATCTTACTTTCGGGATGTATTAGCTAATAAAAATATCTTACAACCTGAAAACTATTGACTACTTTATGATAGCACCATATAGAAGTAATACTTTTTATTGTTGGAATCATTAAGAATTAAATCACCTTTGATTACAACAGGTAAGAACAAAAATGAGTAATTCCTGGGAATATGACAAACTGAGAATAACATCCTGTGACGCTTATTCATTAACATCTACTTTTTGTTAAGTCTATCAAAGAACATTTTACAGGTTTATATAGCTTCATGTTTCGGGCCACACTCAAGCACATCAGTTTGACAATGTCATTACAGAACACATCTTTTCACAAAAATGTGTAGCCAAAATAAAATTATTCTGATTATATTTTTATTATCAATTTGTAAAATTTGTTTTGAAGCATACTCATACATTTAGTGTCTATGCTAAGCCAAATTTTTTATATCATTACCTGTTTCCGGCAATAAACTTGGTGTGATGAATATGTACTGTTTCTTTACTGTGCTATTTTGTTTTTACAGTTTGATTACCACTCGTTTTGAAGATATGTTTGCTACTATATCTTCCATCTGGTCAACTATGATAGATGTGCATAGGAAGACATTTTAAAGCAAATCGTATCATTTCATTGAGGAAAATGTTTCTTAACACTAAGAACTAATGCATTAAATATTCTTTACGGTATATTGGTTCGGTTCATTTATATAAATTACCGTAGCACGTACTGTACCTGAAAAGCGAAATTCTGAAATACGAATTTGGTTGAATGAGACTTTAGTGTTATTAGTATACAATATTATATGTTTGATTAGATTGAAGAATTCTCAGCACTAAAAAACAATATATTCAACTTTTGAATATTAAAAAAAACTTTGCATAAAAGTCTTTAAACAATGGTTAGCGACCATTTATACCCATCTGTAAATGACTTGTTCCCATAAAATCTTTACCATCATCTAATATTATAAGAATTCGATAACAGTTGCATTTGCTTTCTCCAAGCGATAGAAGCGATAAAAATATAAACAGCCGTTGTGCTACTTCTTGACTTTTTCGGTTATTAGATACGCAATGTGTAGTAAATATTATATGAATGCGTGTACGTATACGTGATTAACAAACATAATTATTTAATCAAAACAAATTTGGAACACTAAAACCCAAATAGCAAGAACAAGAGGATCTTCACTATAAAATGAATTCATTACATTTCGCGACTCCTCACTAGCTACAAACGACCTTCGACAATGTATTTGATTTTGAGATGGTACAGGAAAAAAAATTGAAAACATGAAGAAGACACAAATTATTTAACATAGTTCTTAAGATTGATCATTACTTATGTGCTAAAATGAAGTAAAATTTAAAAAGGAATTGATATAATCAATACTGATTAATAGATAACATGAAAAACAATTTAACAAATGACTGATCATATATATAATCAACCTCTTCAGTTGATACACAATCAAAACCAATATCACGAATAAGCGTCGGTGGGATATTCAAAATATAAAATGGAAAAAATCATTTAGCAGCGAACCTTACATCACTGTATTCACTTTACCATGGCAATGAAAGGCTTCTTGATCTTTCTTTCTGGGTGCAAGGTTTGGTTTACAGTACTTAATGAGAGTAGTACCTGCTGAACGAATTGAAAGTTGTGTTTGCTTCTGGCTTATTATTTTGAGCGCTTTTGTGATGTTCACTATATTCCCATTGTAATATGACTGTCTGTTGATGTCTATTATGGTACTAAATAAACGTTTGAAAAAATGGCGAAATTTAGGTACAAATCTGCTTTTCTTTGCCAGTTACCTTTACGTCAAGATAATATTTAATGACATTTAGGTAGTTACGGTGAGATCCTATTAGTATCAAATCTGTCAAGTTCATAGAAACCACACGCAGCATATATTGACTTTTATTAGTCCGATGTATAAATACAGGAAATATAGATGCAGGAGTTTTGCATAATATTGACTAGTTTATGTACGTTTCGTTTTGCATTTTGTTCTCTAGTCTGATCAAGCATTTCATGTACCCCTTACGGTTCTATATATTACTCTTCAACAATAAAACACTACGTGTTTTTTGTAAGCTTGGTTGGATTTACTTCAAACTACGTGTTTTTTAGATGTTTTTCGTTGATGTGGCATTTTAGTTGGTATCACGGAATTACTGAGCATTATGACATAATTGCCTAGCATTAAGTTAAAAAACCGCCTCAAGCATATTTGACATTTTTCTTGAGATAACCTTATCGATGTCTAGATCTTAAGTTCTAAACTGCTTTCGCTCTTTTAGGATATCGCAATATTAGATTTAAGCGCATTCAAAATTGATGTAGGTGCAAGAATCAAAGCAGTTTCAATCATTCCTAAAGTTACTTCATTGGACATAAATAAAACACCTCAACCAGAAATGTTACCTTATAAGAAAACTCTTGAAAATATTGCTAGTTCAAAAGATTTTTCCAATGGAAACCCTACTGTAAGTTAATGTTGATTTTTGCACAATATGTTTTACAAGAAATTGACGAAAGTTATTTATAGAAATGTCAAAGAGCAATCTACAAACCCTATTCGACGCCATATACTGTGAAAATAGACACAACAATGACTTTAGTTGAATATGTGAATATTTGATAATTTTACCAACGGATGATCTTTTATTAACTTTAAAACACGGCGATAGACATTCTACTGTAGTGGCTTAGCTTTGTTAATCGATCACCTTAATAACTGTTATTATGTAAATCCCAATGGTGTTTGAAATTAGAAGACAATAAGAAGTGGCGGCTACAGTTTATTAGCGAATATAACGGACCACAAAGTTACATTCACACCAAGCGAGTTTAACGCAGAGAGGCGAATGTGTATGCCAGTGTAGGACAGGCGAATTTATAGTCAACTCGAGTAAGGACATAGTAAGGCAAAGACCATTAATAGGATTCGAGTACATACATACATGGGGGAAGAGAGTGATTCATTTAAGCTAGAAAGAGATATGTATGTAGGCTGTCATGTGATCAAGCGTACACATTTATACAGACAAGATAGTGATCATAATAGTACAAAGAATAGATGAGTTGTTACTGCTTAAACAACATTGTCTGTTAAGTGAGTTAATAAAAGGGCTTAACCAAAATTCATCATAATGGAAATTGATTGTATGAAAGTTGCTACACTCTTTTTCTTATTCAGTTGCTATACTATCTATAATTTTATCGGTATGTTTAGATCACGTTAATATATGCTAATTTTATCCAATTCAGAATCATGTTACAAAATTACTATCGTGTTAAAATACTTATGTGTTGAAGGCAATTATTTTATGCACTAACTTTTCATCAGGTTGCATATCCATAAGTTCTAATAAAAAGAATAGAGAAGTTAGTGATTTACTATGATCAGATTACGAAGTTACCAGTGTAGTCAATAAAAGTCTAGTAGTGTTTGTAAATCGTAAAGTACCTTGGAGATCATAGGAACTTGGATTGGCTTTTAAGTAAGATAAAGTGAAAAAATTAACGATCAGAATGTACGTATAGTAAGATCATTTGGGGTTAATGAACGCATGATGAAATATAAATGCAACAAGACATAAAACATTTGTTGGCATTAAAAGTCATTTGTAAGTATAGGAACGAAACAGATTTGTGAAATTCAAGATACCAAAATACTGAGGTAAAGCTTATATGTAAGCTAAAGTGATTGGTTCATTTTATAGTAAAAGTAATTACCTCTAGTTTCGTTGCCCGTCAGAGTAGGAAGAGGAGTTAAATTGAATATTAAGAAAAATCTATTTTAAAATGATATCAAAACTCTCTTTTACAGTAATTAGTTTTTTAAATGAAGATTACCATTAAGTCTATTTTTTAATGGATTAGTAATCTGAAAAGATTTTAGTACGGTAAATCACTGAAAACAAGTTTCGACTATAAAGATTAAGAGTAAAATGATCATAGTAGCTCATACACTAACGTGTCAGAGATTCTCTCGTGCTGTGGAACTTTATGTTCTGTTCAAAGATTTTTTCTATATATATTCATCTTTATCAATATATATCAACATATCTTAATAAAAGGTATATTTAATTTTTATTGTATTTTTCAATTAGATTCAATTCAGTTTAATTTACGATAGCCTTATACTTCTAGCACATGGACTTAGTACGGTGACAAGAACAAGACCATTGTTACCACAGAAATTAAGCTGTGAACGTCCACCAGGTCTATGGCCTCTTGGGTTAAGTCTGATCAATGCAGTTAAATCGGTATGTTACTTACTGTAAATTGTTGTTTAATTTAAAAACTAATAGACAGAAGTGCGACCAGATAATTTAGCTAGTTAGTTAGTTGTAACATTCCGATTTTACAATATCTATAAACTGTACACATACGGTAAATAAATAAATAATTAATTAATTATGTTCAGTGGTGAATACTACATAGTTACATAAAATCTAACTTTTAATCCATGTAAATGAAGACTGGAATTCCGTGTAATTAGATAGTTTTCATTTCGTTTTGGTGTAAATATAAATCCTTATTTACTGTGTTTTTTTCCTTCAAACGACGGGCACGATGCAGAGGATGTCCTATGTTGTAGAAAAACTGGGTTGAACTCAAAAATATGGGAACACAATCGGACATACAACCATATAAAGGTGAATGTATCTCTCATTAAGGAAGTAGTTTTACTCTTTCTCTAATCGATGGATTAAAACCTTATCTCAGCAAATATATTAATATTTTAAAGACCATCAGGCTTCTTGCGATATAAAAAAATAGATCAGTTTATGTGTATATAATGCACTAACTAAGAATCACACAATGGCATCAAAAAGTAGATAATGTTGGTGTATTCATATAAAATTTACATCAACAAGATAGGCAAAACTCACTAAAAGATTACGTAAATGAATGACTACGATAAGTTGGTCAAAACAATTAGATTTTCCTTTAGTATGTCTTGGCTTTGTGTATCCATGTTTTGTCGAACAATTGAATTGAGATTAGAGTTCTCTTGATGCGGGATTCACAATCGTTCTAATACAGTTAAATAGTTTAAACGGTATGGTTTTTCTTTATACTGTGACTTTTCTAGCAATCATATCATGAGGTGTATGTTGGAATTAATGTTCACCCAAGTTCAATAAATCAATGACTACGTAAATATGTTGTGGACACTCAATGAAACATTTGGAAATTATCTAAATGACCTCAGTAATCATAAAAAGTGGTTAAGTTACTAATAAGTATCATTACGGACTAGATTATCGTGGCGCTGCAGATAACAAGTTGAAAACACTCATATTTTGTAAAACTAAAGATCTAAACTAGTAACATCAAAAGTTATTGATATTATGAATTTCGATCTATTTACTGACTTACTAACTTGATAGTAAGTCCTATCAAGGCTATAATTATTCTTCGTAGATTATGTTGCAGATAACTATCATTATGAGTTAACGATACCCTGATAGTTAAAACAGTCTATTTGGATAGCTAAATTATCACAGTCAAACTATTGTAATTAATCGTACAAATCAGTGACTGACAAATCATTTCAAATCAATTAGTTCTATTCGTTGCGGTTACCAGTCTACCAGTAAGCTGAATAACCGGAAGTTTTTAGTGTACTTTGGTCCACTTCAAATTTTCCGATTCATGTGGCTAAAAGCAGAAGAGAAGGTACTGATAATGTTTTCAGTCTGGAGTGTGAATCATGAAACTAGATGTGCTTCAAATATGAAGTCTTACCGTGGATTTCCTATAAACCGAAATACTTGAAATTTATTACAATACCGGCTTGAGTGGGGCTATGGTACATTAAATGACGGGTATTAACGCCGTATATTATGTACTCCTGAATGGAAAATGCAGTCCAAGTGCAATTACGTCGGCTAATATCCTTAGATCATAATTAATCGAGCGTTACATAGCCCTAGTGTTCATTTAGGATGAAATGCGTCAGCTACGTATGCGGATAAATCAAAATCAAAATTCTCAATATATTTCAAATCTGACAATGATACACATCAGCAAAGCAAGACTTTATATTCTTTAGATGATCTACGATAAATACCAGTAGAATATATTTTGAAGACCCATGTTTATCAATATTCATTACATCACAGATATTTGGTTTACTTTGTTGCGTTATCCGATTTAAATCACTAGACAGATGAAAAATTATCAGTATTTAATTTAATCTAGAGGTATTTTTAAAGGTGAAAGACTCTATTTGCTTTGAATGTCTTTTACATGTCTCACACCTTAAGAACAAATAGTCAGACTTCATTCACAATGGAGTTACATAATCGAAAAATGCAAAATAACATTCGTGCTTGATTTACCAGTTAATTATTTGTCATTCACCTGTTTTCTCACAGATTAGACATCATTAATTGTTTGTATATTTCTAATAATTTTGTTCATTCTCTATTTACTTTGTGATATCAGAGGACACAGAACACAACATTATGCACAACACTATTACCGTATATGGTGTTGATCATTATTGTCAGAAAAGAAGTTCCTTAATTATCTTGGCATAGAATACAAAATATTTTGTTTCTATGTAAACGGAATAACAAAATCAACTCGTACAGCTTACATTTGGATCTTATTTTTCAAAATCTTATAGGTAGCGTCAGAAACTATTCGGGGTTTAACAAGTCCCTTCCGTTTTGACAAACACGGTTTAAGAACATTATTCGATCTAACTACTCTGGAACTAACCCAGGGTGGATTTAAACCTGTAAGTAATGAATGATAAAATGTGTTCCCACTTAACTTCTAAGGTCTAGTAATAGCAATCTAAATTTATAATAACCTTTTCCCTTCATAGAGTACTATTCATTCTTTAAATAGTACTAAACTCTGCTTGATAAAGAAGTATCTATTCGCAACTGTCTATTGTACACATGTTCATATAATTATCATATATACATCAGGTGCTGAGTCATTTCCGTAAATTTTCATATGAGATTGTTGGATTGAGTTGGTGCAGGTTTGTTGTTTTCAAGGAATGTGTTTTACTCTTAAGGCATACGTAAGAATGTATTATAGTCATCAAACCAATTCACTGATTAACTGATAAGATCAGTGTACAACATAAATCTTAATGGACCCGTACAAATGTTTAGTAATCCAAGATGTATTACTGTTGGTATACAAAAGGTTTTCTTTCAAACTTTTGCCGTACATTTTTTTACAATTAAGGTGTAGCTACTAATCTTAATTCATAATTCATTTTTTGAGTAAATTATTTTTAAAATGGTTTCACAGATTTCGTCCTGTAACACACCTATCAGCCGTTTAATTAGCTAACATACCATGTAAATGTTGAAAAAGTGTGTGTATAGAGTATCAAACAGCTAGGTGACTTACTAAGATCAAATCAACTTTAGTTATCTTGAATTACCAACATAAGATTATGATTTGAAATAGAATAATATTTGAAATTAAAATCATTGCTATAGTGTGCAAATATAATTTTTTTCTGATATACGGTTTTGGACTCCATAGCTATCGCTTCATATGAAATAGTTACACTAGATTGTTGCAGCATTTAATCTACTATTCTCTATTAATCAGAAGTGGGGGGAGAAAATATTTTTATCGTATAAGAGTACGATCTATTCATTTAGTAGTTTGATGTAACCCATCAACCGTCAGACTAATTTTACTAAAACCTATGAGCTTGAGAATTAATGAAAGTCAGCATTCAATGGCCCTTTGCGTTTAGTATGAGCTTTTTATACAATATTTATGCCATATTACAAACTGAACTATTACTGAGAATCTCGATTTCTATCTCTGATATAATCCTTCAGAGTAAATGAGTTAGAATAAAGTCTTCATTCAAGTTGGAACTAAGTGCGACAGCCGCTCGGTTTAACCAGTAAAAATTAAGCTACATAGTCCTTAAATCCTTTAGGTTTCAGATATTTATCTTTCATTTGACTAGTTCCAGATAAAATTATTAAGTATTTCCGTATTTTCACTTCACCGGTGGGAAAATGTTAATAGACCAGTGAACATTCAAACACACTATGTGATCATTTGATAGTTGTGGGCTACAATCTGAAAATAATTTGACGGATAATATATGAAAGAAATAATCCTACAAACAAGTGAATTATAAGACAAACTCTAAGGGTTCTTGCTTATTCAAAACCAGTGTTTATATTTACTTCCTGGCTGATTGTTCATCCTTGAGCACATATTTAATTCGGATGGTAAGTTACTAAAATATAATTTATTTACATCGCTTGTGACAATTTAAACCAGGAGGTTTTTTTTAAATCCATCAGCTGACCTTAATCATCTTACTCTTTCCTTAATTCTGAATACTCAAAAATTAAATCAAATAGAAACCACGGATTGAATTTGTTAGCTAACATGGTTTAAAGATTGATTATTTAAACACAAACTCCATTATTAAGCGGTAATAAATTTTCAGAAACCTTCGTCCCATTATTACTCTGAACATATAAAACCTTTGTTTAACTTATCCAGACCGCGTACAGGACAAAACAAATTCAAATTTTACATTAATAATACCTTTTTTCAGCAATAAAAACTGGCTGACTAAGTAAAATGTTTCGTTTTGATTTCTTCCCCCTGTTGAGGATGAGTGAGAAATCCACGAGGAATAAATTTTTGATTTATTGTTGCATCGACTGTCCAATTTTTTCAACACGGACCACTGGTAATATCAATATGTTTAAAAAAGAAATAATTTCAGTTAACAGAATCTATTGTGTTCTGAACTACATTTTTTGGCTGTAAAGCTTTACGTTAATATTCATTCTGTCGTTCGAAAATGTTAGCTCCTATGATAAAAACAATTATTTATACATAACCGTAATTGCATACACAACTATATATTCGCTAATAGAAATTTCTAGCCCTTTATTGTACTAATTACTTGCTCCACGGAATTTATTTTTATCAGACTGGAGTATGGAACATAGATGAAAGAATGAAAGTTGCAAAGCAACCTGCAATAACGTTACCAAAACAGTTACCCAAAATCAAAGGTGTAGTCTTGAAAGTCACAACAATCCCTGTAAGTTTTCATTGATGAACAATAGAAAATATGACATTATAATTACTTGCTTATTATTTATAGATGTTAACGAAATATCAAAATGATTAGGTAATATACATTTAATAAGAAATAAGGAAAAAATCCTAGAAAACATATTGACGTTAAAGTCAAAGAAATCATTGGTTTCATCATAATAACTCATTAATGTTTTGATTGCTTGAAATTTTTAGGATGCCCCATTCATGATTCCAATCAAGTTTGATGCATACGATAGACCATTAGGTACACCTGATGCATGGATGGGATATTGTATTGATCTGTTGAATCATATCGCATCAGATGTTGGATTTAATTATACAGTTCATATAACACCAGACCGACAATATGGATCAGGTATAGACGTTGGAAACGGAACCATTTTCTATAATGGCATAATGGGAGAACTGATCAGAGAGGTAAGTGTGGTTAAGGAGAAATACGATTGGTTTTATTTCATCATTATTAATCGTTATAAAGCTACCCAAAAAAATATTTTATTCGATGTATTTATCGTTGTTCTACACAGTTTACCTTTCTGAATGACTTATTTTTGTAAACAAGCCTAAAATTAAATAGTAACTTTTACCTTGACACTCTTTATGTCAAATTACATATAGTTTTTATAATTTAATAGTCATTTTCATCACAAAGTAGTCAGTTGAAGAAACATCGCAATTTCAAGAAAAACGAATAAATGTTCATTAAGGTTCAAGTTTTTACGGAGTTGTGAACATATGACTTCACATCAGATCAAACCTGGCTCCTTCAGATTGTACTTGATTGGAGTTATGTTAAACTTAAGTTAAAAACATGCATTATAAACAGAAGTCAAATACATTGGTAGGAGGTAATGATAAGGGTGAGACTTGTGTTTTTTTATAAAATTTAAATCAGCTCTGTCGTAAAAAAGGTCTATACATTGTTGTTCTTGAGGCAGATAACTTCCATCATCATAAAATCTGAACATATAATCTAAATAAATTGTTAATAAATTTTGTATAATAATTAAGTTAAACAGAGAACACTAATCTCTTGTAGTAGGTTCAGACAAACAAACCTTCAACAAATAAAACGTTGATTAACTGTCGATTTAAAGTGAGTTTTTCATTTAATTTGCTTTAATTCGGTACTATAATGCATCGAAATAAACTCACTTAGATTATACACAGATGAGATAACCTCTGTGGTTGGCAACTACTTTAATTTTAAAAAGAACGTGTCTAGCGAATTAATCATAAATAATAAAAACCAATTATTCTAATAGATTCCCTCTTTGTTCTTCTCTTTATACAGGAAGCTGATATGGCTGTAGCCGGATTTACAATAACATATGAACGTGAAAAACTTGTTGATTTTAGTACACCGTGGATGACTTTGGGTGGGAGTATTTTATTTACAAGACCAAAAAGTCAAAAACCATCATTGTTTTCATTTCTTCAACCACTTTCACCACAAGTAAGCTAGTTTACTGGCTCGAACAATTAAGTTATTATACGTAATTTTAATTTATAGTAATTTTATTTCTGTGTCGTTTAAAAAACAAAGGTGTTCATTAACTATAGTTTCGTCTCAATTGATACTTGTTACCTGGATGTGACTAAATCCCATTGTTGGTGTACACAGTAGAATTCGAACTGAGTACCTGTCACTTAAGACAAAGATTAACCGAATGAGTCCAAATAGCAGCTAACTTGTTTAATGGGTATAAAATTATTCATGAGGGTTTTAATTTAGCCATTATTGACTTTCAAGATCAAAATTATTAATTCTCACTCCAACTTGAGATAATTTTCTGACTACATTTAAACATCGAGATATCTGACTCGGGATGCAGATATTTTTGTGGAAATTGATCATCTATAGTCTAAAATGTCAACAACAGAAAAATATGAAGATTAACAAATTAATGACCTACTGTCTAACTATTTAAAATTGATCACTACGAATTCATTGGGTGAAAATGCTTATTTAGAGTCCGTATCAACCATTCCAGCTGTTGTTTGCAAAACATGGGACATAAAATAAAGTATTGTATTGATAAACTAGCATCTTATCTACTTCTACTCTATTGCATGGTAGTAATTATCATGTTGATTTACTTTTAAAACTCTGTTTGCCAATATATTTCACGTACAATATTGTAGTTGTAAACATTCTTAGTTTATGTAGAACTGAATACCAGGATCTTTCTACTAGAAACATATTTGTTTGATATGCTTTAACATTAACCCCAACCATTTTGCATCACCGAACTTTTGTTGATTTTCAGGTATGGTTATACGTGGGTTTCACGTATTTAGCTGTGTGTTTGTGCTTATTTGTTGCTGCCCGTCTTTCTCCACATGAATGGACAGCAACACATCCTTGTGAAGAAGGTGGCGATACAAGAAAAAATCAATTCACACTATTAAACAGCTTCTATTATAATGTATCTGCTTTACTGAATCAAGGTATTAGGTTTTATCTTACAATAATTTTGTTTTTTCCATTTGTAAATTGGTGATAAAAACAAAGATTTAAATGTTTCAACATGAAACAAATTCGTTTGGAATTCTCCATTTAGCGAACCAAGAAGTTTATCAGTTACGTGATAAACGAAAGTTGATTACTGTCATTTTACACAATATTGATTTAGTGTACTGTAATCCAATAATGGAATATTAATCATCTTATTGATATCAAAAAGTAGCTTCAAATCAATTGCAACTGATACGACGTTGTGTAATATTGTATCAGTAAATAATTTCGTCCCGTGATTAGAACCAACTGCAGATCTGAACTAATCTGTACATACCACTCAAATAAACATTACCCACTGTTGACCTTCTGTATTTACGTTACTTGGTAAACGTGTCTATTTCATGGTTTAAGGTTTAATGTCATTAAATATGTCTTTCATTGAGATTTAATTAAACTAAACCTTAGCGCGAATGCATTCTCATAAATAATCCAACACTGAATTGTCTAGTAGCTATGTAATTCTATATGCGAATTTTAGTAACTTTTTCAATGTTTTAGTGTATTTATCATATGCAAAATGAATTATTTGACAAGTTTAAGGACATTAAAGTTTTTAGAACACTGGAATATGATAAAGGTTTACAGTTGTTGCATTCTATCATGGCTTTATCATTAAGTTATCCAAGTTATAAAATCGATCATTACCTTCAGTGATAGTTTAAAAACCTGTTTAACATAAAAGTAAATTAAATTTTTGCATTATATTATACTTGCATAAAAATGTAGTAGTTTTACGATTGAATTCATCATTCTTCTTTTCCCCACTAACGATGAAAATTACCGTGGAAGTAAAAACTTTATAAGGTGTTGTGAAGGTTTTCAGATTTGAAGTTTCATATCACTGAATGAACCTCGTTATACAACCATTGAAAGCGAGTTAGCATTGGAAGCCTGCCTCACACTTGTAAAAACTTCTAGTCAGGTCATATCCATAACCAACAAGGGGTCGAACATAGAACCTTGGGCACTAAACCTTCCGATCGCTGAGTTGCAGTCTAAGAATTTGCAGCCCCAACGTCAGTCAGGTTTTGATTATGCACAACCATCATTCATTTCCGTCGGTGATATTTTCCACATTTCCTTGTCAAACCAACTTGATGTTCTGAAGGTCCTATGTTCGATTTCTCGTTGATCATGGACGTGCACTACCCAAAAGTCCTATGCTAGAATAAAATGCTATTCATTGTTTCTTGGTCTTTAACGGTATTTAAACCATAGTCTCACATCTTACATAACTGAAAGGTAGCTTTTTGAGGTTTATCCAAATTTTGCTTACTCATACATTAGTATAGTATAGAGGTCAATCAAATTGTTAAAGTTATTCCTTTATAAGCAAGGATCCGAAACAAATACGACATCGCTAATCTCAAATTTTCTCAAAGTGTTAGGTATTTTTGTAATCTGCAGTATTTTTCCTTCTTATTTATGATGGTGAGTGTGTAGAAATATCATATGATATCTCTATATTTAATGATGAGGCTTTCATTCAAGTTACTCTTCTCTGTTTAAAATCTAGGAACTGAACTTGCACCACACGCTACCTCAACACGATTGTTAACAGGGGTTTGGTGGTTTTTCGCCTTGATTATTATTGCTACATACACAGCTAATTTAGCTGCATTTTTGACAGTTGAAAATATGAAATCACCCATTGAAAGCGCCGAAGATTTAGCTAATCAAGAAAAAATTAAATACGGAACCTTGAAAAGTGGATCAAGCCGTGATTTTTTCAGAGTAAGCTATAATTTGCTACTATCTAACTAGAAAGGACAAATATTGATTGCGTTTTGTAAGAATGTATAAACAGTAAATAATGCATATAATAGGTTCTTACATAATTTTATATGGTAGTGATTTTGGATCTAACACGATGTTTTAAAATGTTCCACTTCATAGTTATTTTTTAGTTCTTAGCCGTTGTAGTGGAATGTCATCAAAAAGATGTGTTCTGAAAGTTTAAAAATTGAGATAAACACGTTGCACGCTAAACAACGCTAAAACCATTCAAAATTAATATGTTTCTTAGTGTTTTGTAGAGATTAATTTAATTTTTTAGTGTAGCTCTTCACATAGTAACCTCAGTTGTTGTATCACTGAAAACCAGGTAGCGATGGGTAGTTGTTCTATCATAGTGCAAAGCATCTAGAAAGTATGTACCTACGACTGTGTCCAGAATTATCAGGTCTTACAGTCAATGCTTAAGCGTTGTTAGTCATGTGATATTGAGAAAAAACAGTTCTTAAAATTCATTTACAGTTAGATGTTTGAGAATACACTGTTGATTTATAGATGATTATGTTATCACATAAATATATTCGGAACTCCTCAATAGTTTATTTGTTATAATTTTTCGTTAACTTTCGAATAACTCGAATTGTTATATTTTGTAATAATTATGAGGGTAAGTCGGCAGGGTACCTTGAACGTGTGTTTCACACTAGTTGGTACGCAAGGTTTACCTGCAGTCTTATGGGAATCTTCATTACTCAGCTTCAAAATTTGAGCCGTTATCACTGCCTAGTAATTATTAATCACAGTTGTGCTGTTTTACAACATGATAGATTTGAGGCGAATACTTCTTCCACTACTCTAGTTTAGAATGCTCCCAACGCCTACAAAATATTCGTCTTATTTTATCACTTCCTTTGACAAATACCTATCTAGTAAGGCAGTTTGCATATAATATTGTTTTCATCAACAGACCTCATCTTTACCAACGTTTAAGAAAATGGGTGAATTCATGGACAAATATCCAGATGCTACTGTATCAACCACTCAAGAGGGGATTGAACGTGTTCTACAAGGTAATTATGCCTTCATTTTAGAATCAACCTGGAATGAATATTATGCTCAGAGAGATTGTCGTCTAACGCAAGTTGGAACATTGCTTGACTCTAAAGGTTATGGGATCGGATTTCCACAGGGTAAGTGTTTTGGAATGTGTTGTTGACATTGTCTTTCTGTCATTTGAAAATTAGACCAAGGAGAGATTGAAATAAATTAAATGTGTAGGGATGCTTGAAATGTTATTTTTGATCATATTTTCAAAAGTTTTAGTTTAAACCACGCTACACATGTTATGTCAAACTCGGTAAAAGTAATGCAGAAGAAGAAATTTTCAACTTCTTAGTACATTGGTAACGATATCAATCTCTACTAGTGTTTGAATTCTATCGATAGTTTTACGGATCGATGTTAGTTGTATTTTTCAGCAATCAAGATATCTTCAGACGGTTTCGAACAAAATCGCTTTGAGGTTACTTTTCAGAAACCTAAGTGCTTACAGTTTTCTTAAATATCACTTTAAAAATTTTCAGGACACTTTTTGTGCTATTATAATCTAATAGTGAAATATGGTTCTTTCAGTCCTACAGACGTTATTCGATCATAGCTATCATTGAGTTCTGAGATTGAGAATTCAACATACTTTCACTGAATCAATATATGACATTAGTAAACTGTTGATTGGTTTGAGTCCCTTTACTCCTGATATCTCACCTGCTTTCATACAAAGTATGGTTGTTTAACACTGGCTAAAGCAACAATGACTACTGATATACTAATGAGTAGTCATGTTAAGCTAGTTTTGATGTCACATGATATTTTAAGCAAACGCCTAAAGATCAAACAGCCTAGTGGTTTCCAGCATTATCATGAACGTTTCAGATTAGAACGATGTGGTTCTATTATGAATCTTTGGAATTTTCTATACTATAGTGCGATCAAATACGTGCTGATTATATTCTCATTTGAAAACATGATCTTTGAGATTCATTTTTAATATTATGTTTTTGCTCTTTTTTCATTTACAACTGCAATAATCTGCAAACACTTCTCGTTTACACATAAGTAAATGAAACTACTTCACAATGATATACTAAATGAGAATCCTTGTGCATAGAAAGTTTGGTACGAGGCTATGAAAAATATCTTTATTTCAAACTTGGTGCAAATATGGCGGAATGTGGTGATCATACCGAAGATTTGATTGCATAGGTGGTCAAATGTGCTACATCTTTACCATCTGTTTGTGGAACTCGTATAAAAGAAATTCTAAACAATGAAGACTAAGTTTTCTTGAGTCAGGAAACGGAAGACGTTTTCATTAAAATATCTGTTCATTTCAGAAAGTATGAAATCATCATAGCTAATTTACGATCAACGTTTAAGACTAACTGATGAAAAAAGAGGTTTAGAAAGTGTTGTAAAGGAATTTTATGGAACCTTAAAATAAATAAAACGGACGAGACAACGGTAATGAGAGTTAACATTAAAAAACATCCTAATAGAGTTTTGATGTGATATGAGATATATATGTATATTAATTCTAATTACAAAAGGATGCTACCTAAAGTTTTAAATTACAGCGTGTTGTTGGTTCACAAATCGTTAATCACAACTTCATTTTCTCACAAACTCCATATATGAGCACTATTTTTATAGTTCCATCAAGATAAGTCGAAAGATCAATGTTGAGAAGTTGTTTATCAACATAGTTATAGGATGTTTGTACTTTTCCCACCACTACGACTGTTGTATAATAAGTGCGATCCAACTGAAGAAATGAAAATACTCAGTTTACCATACTTCGCCCAATTTTAATTAACCGAAATAAGCTTTGATTTTTTTCTATTACACATTCATCATCTGCTTTTACCCATTTGGTTAACTATAATATTAAGGTTCACCATGGAGGGATCCCGTTTCGAAATCAATTTTAAAATTACAGAATGCTCAAATTCTGGCAAAATTAAAACGTATTTGGTGGAATGAATTTAATATCACGGAACCATGTTCTTTATTACGTGAATCAGGTAAAGCTCCAAGTCCATTGGGTGTAGAACAAGTTGGTGGTGTATTTATTGTCTTACTGATTGGATTTTTTATGGGATTCGCCGTATCGATTATTGAATTTTTAGTTGCAACAAGAGATCAGCAAAAGGTAATCCATCGATTTGTGATGTACTAGAGTCCTGAAATATTTATACAAAGCATTTATTAGTTAATTCTGTAATAGTATTTCCATAGCAGTGTACTATACCATCTCTTATTTCTCCATGAAGCATAATCTAGGTACTTTCGCAAGTTGGACTACTAGAATTTCGATACAAAAATAATCAAAAAGCATTTTTTCATAGAAATTACTGTATTAGTTGAAATCTTTATTTCGATATGATGACGATGTCATCCGTATAAAATGAGAATCCAGGAGAATCTTGGGATACATTTTCTAAATTTAAATATAGACGTTTCCGTCTGATTTAGATGAAAACTAAAGGAATAAAAATAGCAGATATTCTGTGATTGTACATAATTCAGTGTATGGAGTCGTAATTCTTTCATAGACCAAATGATAGAAAGTCAGCCTAGTGTTTCGTGACTCCCAACAATATTCAGCAAACTGAAATATGCACAAATAATCATAAGCCCTACTTGTATTGTCCAGATGCTACTTTAAAAATCAAAGCTATTACTATTAAAGGATGAAATTACTATTGATGATTCCAATATATGGCATTAAGACGCACCATCACCAAATTTCCAATACTATCTAAATTTCAAACATGGTGCCATAAACGTCCACCTAAACGTCAATCACTAACTTCTTTATTCAGAGACTCAGTGTTTGGATGTTTAAAGATATATGATTATCTTTCGATTTTGTTGTTTGTGAAATCCATTAAACCAATGCTGGAACATTATTATTTATAAACTAATAACCTTTCATTTTCAATTTTAGACAGCTGTTTGGCGTGGAATGTGGAAGGAGTTGAAATTCGCTACACGATGTTTAACGACATCACGTCGATTAAGATCAGACATTCCTAAATTATCTAGATCCCGTTCAAGTAATCGACTTATATCATCTGTACCAAATAATTTAAGTGCAATAAATAATTCGCCAAATTCATTCGGTTTCAGTGAAAATCATAATAACAATATAAAGCTAAATAATAATACTAATGTCAGTAAGAATGTTCATATGAGTGGAATCAATTCAAAAATTGAACAAGATACATCTAGAGACCAATTGTTAATCTCCGAATCCAGACCTTTTACTTATGAACAGCAGAATCAGCAAAATCAAGAAGGAACTTATCGAACAGATCAGAAAAGTGCAAGTCTACAATGTCCTAGTTCATTCGATCAAAGTGATATATCTGCAGGAATATCAAGTGATCCACAGCCTCAAACCTACAACGCGCGTCAACAACAACACCATCTTGCATATAACATCCAGTCACATCAACAAATACAGCAACATCACCCATATATACATAATGAAACTGATATTAAGCGTTTAACGATGCCACAAACTGTAGTTCGATCAAATTTCAACGTTGGAATGACTAATATGAATGGAGATTCCGAACTATGGCAAATAAACCAACAGAAATAATTTCAATTTGAAAAGAAATTATTTGACACGCGACTTTTAAAAATGTTTTCAACATTGTTTAGTTTATGCCTTAATTTATTGGAAATCTGAATCACTCTAAGGCTTGAGATTATCTACGTTACGTTTAAGAAAGCAAAAAGTTTTAATTGGAAAATCCCTTCCAGTTTCATATAAAATGTTAGTAATAATTTTATTCAACTTATGTAACCTTTTTTTGTAATGTTGGATTTTGAAAAAATAGTTGAATTGATTTGTTCAGTTCAGAACTACGAATTATATAAAGTGAATATAAACAAATAAAGTATAATATAAAGTTTCATTTCTCCAAATGAAGTTTGTCAATAGCACCGATTGACTAGATCAAATGTCGCATACAATTTATACTGTAAACAGATATTATTCAACGAATTACTGAACTTCGTCAACATTAACTTTGACGAGAATTAATCAAAATTTAGCCAAAAGTGGTTTATTTGTCAGAAAGTGTAGTTTTTCATGATACATTAGGGTTCAAGTTTGATTACTAACATTATTTTCATTTTCAATAATTTCATAATAATAAAAAGAACGAATAGTTTTCCTTGAATAGATTCTCACTAGGTTCTACAGTAACAAACTCAAATTATTGATCAAAATGAAACATTCAAATTCAAAACTAATTCACCTCTTAAATGATTTTAGGGTTGATATCAAAATAATTATGTTAGTAAGCGTTTGTAAATATTGTATACGATTGTAAGTCGATTACAATTCTGAGATTAAAAATTTGGATGAATGTAAATTACGTGATGGGATAGAAAACATACATTAATTACGAACACAATCAATTATTTGCCCAATCATTACGTAAACTATAAAATAATGTGAATTAAGTAGGATGGGGTAAATATCAAATAAATTGTTCATATGTTTAAGGCAACATACAATAACAATTAGATCAAATCAATTGAATCCATGAAAATATGTTTGTATTTACATTAGTCGAATTCACCCATCCTATAAATGGGATAATTATTGGCTTATTCAGTCTAAGGCTAACCAAGTTAAGGGAAGATGATAAGCGAGCTTCTTTTAGTGTACGTAGATTTGAAAATGTCTTATTATTCATCTTAGGGGTACGTAAGAAACTAGGAAAGCAAAATTGTGATTATTAAATATACCGGAACATCATTTAATGCATTAAAGACAACTCTAAGACTCAATAGTAATATCAAATCACTAAGTCTAATAAATTCAATAAAATAACTACTTGTGCTTCATCAGCTTATAAATTTCTTAGTACTTCAATTTTATAGGGTTACAACTCTTTATTATGGGGAAGTATATATATTTTTGAGTTTTTATGCACTACTCTTAGACAATATATGTACTCATTAAACACGAAAATGCGGTACCATGAGATGGATTAATTAATGAAACATTACGTTAAGTGGACCAAAGTACTAATGTACTTTTATACAGATGTGTTTCTAGTCCTGCCTGTCAATACGTCAGTCGATTGTTACTGGTCTTTTCACTCTTAGTATTCACTAGCTTCACAACATGATAAAGGATTCTAACTGCATTTCACAAATAATTGAAACTTAAAATTGAAAATAGTTAAAGGATCATTGAAAACCAGTAAGCATTTTACATTTGCCTAGTCTTTACATATTCGTTAGCATTCATATACGTTCATATATGTTGATATCATGAATCGTTTGGAAACCAGGACACATACTACTAAGTTGCAATTCAGTGATTTATGTGTCCAACTTTCGGGTTACTTTAAAATGAATAACTTTTTTCAAAAAGACAAACATTTGTCGATTTATTAATTTAACATAAAATGCGTAACAAGAGATCCAAACCTTTCAAGTCATGAAACGTTATCATTTTCTGATCGAAAGTGGAAAAGCCTATCATGTCCTCTAAGTTTAATCACTTTTTCATTTGCCTCAAAAGTCAATAGCATTTTAGAGAAAATAAATAAACAAACCACTGAACCTATTTACTTAGAGACTAATGGGAATTTTCAAATGTATTATATTAAGTGGCTTTTTAATACTTAATATAAATGAATAAAAACATTCTCAATTTCAAGATTTATTATGGTTATTGGTTATGAAGGAATATTGTTCTATAAAATCTGACATATCAACAGTCAATAATATGAACTATTAGTAAAATAAACTATCGTGATAATGACCTACAAAACCGTCATTATCAAATATCACGGAATTAAGAATTTAGTTTTATAGTGAAGAAAGAATAATCATTGTTTCAGTCTTTGAATACGTATATAAATGTATATATATCTTGGTAATTGTAATTGACGAATCACAGATGAACAAGATTTTCGTTACCGAATCACAATTTTTATTCTCTATTCAACGTTTCCTCAAAACACTAATCCATATGATAATGAATAGGATTAGTAGCTAAATCAAAAATATCCCTTTTAGAATTGTCATATCTTGTTCGCTTTTAAATAACACAATTAAGTCGAATTTATTTATAGAAATCATGAATAGAATATTTATGCAAATAGTTTCAATTACGTTTTCTACATAACAAAATTCAATACAGCTTTCATCAACACAGGCCCAATTACTTTTCGGGCATTATTTTAAATGCTGTCCATAAAGGTAACTAGATTATTATGCCAAGAAATTTAATAATAATTTTAATCTTACTTCATCAAACCCACTCCACTCTGTTTATTTACCACTAAAAGTTTTGGTTATTACATGAGATTTACATATGTTTTTTACTAAACTAATCAATGTATATTCATTTTACGTTTCTATTTGAACCGCACTAATTTAACTCCTTTGTTTACATATTTCTGCATTATTCAACAATGTTCACTCATCATATGTGATTCAAGTGTGATGTGGGTAGACCGCCGAACCAAAGCAAATGATTTTGAGTTAGTAGCTTAAAAATTCAGCAGACTTATTTCTTCAATAAATAATTGTTTATAGATAACTCAAATGTTGTAAGGTGTTTTAGTAAAAATGGAAACTCATAATTGAAATGTTTCAAATCTACGAACTAAAAATAACTCATGATGGTTAAAGCTCCTATTCAATGATTAAGATGCACTTTTACTACTTTATCACTGATTTTAAAGGCTAATGATAGTTTCGGCTTGACTCGTTTCAAATAATTATTAACTTTTGTTTCATTTCATGTGTACAAACACAACGGATAGGTAATAATCCTTACAAACTCGCTTTTTGGTATTTAAATAATAAAAGCTTTTCTTCAATGAAGGATTTAAGATAAATCCTAGTGAATGATAAATATATCTTTGCAAAAACCACCTTATTACTGGAACGTAAAATAAATGAATCAATCCTCATTTGACCTATCCAGGTCTTATATTCAAACAAATTGTTTTCAGATGAGTAAATATTTGATTGTATGACTACTGTCAAAGAAAGATGCTTCGAAAAAACTATGTAAATCTAGTGAAATATCATGACACTAGCCAATTCATCCGGCAGTCAGATCACTGAATATCGAACAGGTCGAGGATAGCCGACGCACATCAATCAATTTTACATACCATGAAGTGACATATGTGTCAGCGGTTTCACTCTGTTTCATGTGTCTGCTCTTGCTAATATATTTCTATTATAATGTTAATTGTATTGTACGGTCATCAAAGCATTCATAGTACCGCGATACGGTAAAACGGTAATTCAAGTTAGGTACTAACCGTGAAGTGTGACTTCGAGTAAGCTGGTTGGTCACGCCATTTCTATTCAATTCAAATAGGCTCTCAATCATTGACACGGATCACCGATGTTGTCTATCTACAATTACCTAGCTTTTATTTTGCGGAATGATTTGCTTCTTTGATAAACACCATGTATGAAATGTTCTAAAATGTTCTTCTGAAACGAGTTAAATTTTACGACAACCGCATAAAATTTCTCAGAGTTGACGAATCGCTTCAAAATTCAACTAACAGAATAATTCCAATGTTCTATATTTGAGATGTTTACGCCTTAGTAGTTAAGAATGAGAGACTATAGTCCTTTATTCGTTTGTGATTCTGTTAGTCAAGTTTCAATATACTTATTATAACGGGCCATGGACAATAATTTGAAATTGGCCTAAACGTTGGTGAAATCATTGAGTAACTAGCAACTATCTACATTTCTTAAGTGAAACTAACGAGTGAGTAATATCTTGATATTTTTTATATATTTCCAACCTTTCCTTTGTTTGTTTTAAAAGACACACTAGTCAAAACATTGATTCACTAAAAAGAAGGAAATTAATTTCATTGAAAGAAACTGTTTTAATTGAAAATTTATTGGCGCCAATAAAAAGGCTTTTATCAGCATCGCGTTGTCATAAAATATTATTAATGACACTGCAGTAAAACTCCATGAGAAACAATTATGAAAAAATTAAACCAAAAATAATGAATGCTAAGTCAGAACTGTATTGAACTGAAAATCATTCCAATTGTAGACAATAAATTCGCTTCATTTGTGAGCTAGACACCAAACTTTATTAGAATCATAACACTCAATGAATGTAGTTTGAGTTTTACATTATACTTTTTTAACTAAAAGTTTTCTATATTTTTTAGCTTCAGCCAAAATATTCAATAATGCAATAACGGTTAGAGAAATCTACTTTTTTTTGATGACTAGGTTACATTCAAATGTCACCCTTTTCATCATACGTTGACGATTATTTATTGATAACACACTGCGCTGTTGCTTTTACGGTTAAATGTGATTTTTGTTTTATA